CTGCCGTGGAGTCCATTCTGACCCACAGCGCCCCTAGAGGACAGAGTGGAACTGCCCACAGGGTCTCCAAGGCTGTCAGTCTTCACAGAAGCAGAGCCCAAACCACACCCACTGCCATGGAGTCCATTCTGACCCACAGCGCCCCTAGAGGACAGGGTGGAACTGCCCACAGGGTTTCCAAGGCCGTCAGTCTTCACAGAAGCAAAGCCCAAACCACACCCACTGCCGTGGAGTCCATTCCGACCCACAGCACCCCTAGAGGACAGAGTGGAACTGTCCCACAGGGTCTCCAAGGCTGTCAATCTTCACAGAAGCTGACTGCCTCAAATTTTTGCCCTCTGGTGTGGCTGGTGGGTTGGAACCACCGACCTTTTGGTTAGCAGTCCAGTGCTTTAACCGCTACACCACCGGAGCTCCTAAATAGTCCCTACACCACCAGAGCTCCTAAGTGGTCCCCAAAAACGAAAAACCAAACTCACTGCCATCGAGTTGGTTCCGACTTGTAGCGAGCCATCCTTGGGTTTCTGAGGTGGTGTCTCTGTGGAAGTAGACTGCCCAGTCTTCTGAGGAGTGGCTGGTGGGTTTGAACCACCACCCTTCTGGGTAGCAGTCAGATACCTTAGGTACTACCCCATCAGAGCTCCCAAACAGTCCCCAAGACCATGGCAAACATTTAATGGCCGCCCGAGAGGAGCCCGGTGTGTCCCAGCATCCAGAGCCCGCCCGCTCTCTTCTGCAGCTTCACGCCCGTCTTGTGTTCTGTGTGCAGGTGCTGTGCCGAGCAGGGTGGCAGGCCACGTTTGAAGAGCTCCCCGATGTGGACCACTTTGAGATAATCGAGAATCTAACCCAAAAGGATTATGTGCTCACCCAGGTGGGTCTGTCCCTTCCTGGCCACCTGGCAGCGCCTTTGCCATTAACACACGGGTTCTATTGGAGTCCCTTGTTCTGGTTCCCTAGTGCCGCTCTGACAGGAATATACCCCAAATGGGATGCTTGAACAAACAGGAGCTTATTCTCTGACAGTTCGGGAGGCTAGAAGTCCAAATTCAAAGTGCCAGGCTCTAGGGGCTGGGTGAAAGGCCCTCGACCTTGGGCTTCAGCTCTGCCTCTTGCTCCCAGCCCACTGAAGCTGGAGGCGTCTCTTCACTCAGGCAGCTACTGGCTGATGGAGGCTGACAAGCTCAAGGTCGACAAATAAAATGGCACAGTCCTGATGTTACCAAACCACACAGCAGGCCATTAATTCAAGTCCATTGTAAGTCCCAAGGTCGACAGAGCATGGCAGGCTGCTACATGCAGCGTCCAAGCATGCCATAAGTTAGAGACCAGGCCCAAAGCTGCTGCTTATATACGGGAAGCAGACCACATCCCTAAAGCAGCTACTTAGCTGCTCCAATACATTCCACCAGGGAGTTAATTACCGATCTTACCATGGGGAATAACTACATCCAGCTGCCCAGCCACTTAACCAGGCCTAGCCAAGTTGACACACAAACTTAACTACCACACCCCTTAAACATAAGGAGAGGTAGGGAGGCAGGGAGCTTCCGTGTGTGTGTGTGTGTGTGTGTGTGAGTGTGTACCTAAGACACCTCTGAAGTCATCAGCTTTAGGTCCCAGTGCTCTGGTATGACCTAAAATAAAGGCCCTGTTCCCAAACCCGCTCATACTTACAGGTAAAGAGGTTAAGACACCAACCTAAGATTTTGGGGGACAGACTTGACCCCATAGATTGCCAGGATTAGAACACAGACAGCTGCACGTGTGTGCCACAAAGGCGTGCGTACATAAAGAACAGAACACAGGTTAGTGGTCTCACAAGTGCGTTTTTTAAATCCTGTCTCACATTTTCCACCACTAACGTGTTACTTGTATTTTCTCTGTCAACTGGAGAAAAACCACTCACCCACAAAGGACATCTCTTGAGAGCCTGGGAGTCCAGCCTGTTCCTGTAGCCAGATTGCTGGCAGTGTTCCCTCCTGCGAGCTCTCCACAGGGCCGCTCCGATTCTGGGGTTTTCCTGTCTTTTCTTCCTGCTGCAGATTATTCTTAGGACAGTATTTCAGGAGTTCTGACGGCACCTGGAGCACAGCCCAGTGCTCACCGCCCGTGACGTTTCTTGGAGACGCTGGAGGCTTCCCTCGCGCTGCCCTGGCACTCAGTACAGCCTTAGTCTGCCTGCCCGCACGCCCTCGACATTGCTCTAACCCCTGATAGAAACCTCCACTTTCTCCCTGTCCTTGTCTGGGACCAGGTGGGCTCCAGGGAAGGCCTGGCCCCTCGGCCACCGAGAGGGAGGGCAAGGAAAGTGACAGGTAGGTATGTGTCGCTTAATGTTCCTGATGACAATGGCCAACCACCCAGACAGCCTTGGTCTCACAGGGTTTGTTTTTTACGGGAAGGAAATTCTTCTGTTTATTGTTTCCCCCTAATGGTTTTACAAAGGAGCTCTGGTGGCGCAGTGCCTAAGGCATTTGACTGGTAAACAGAAGGTTGGCGGTTCAAACCCACCAGCCACTACTTAGAAAGAAGGTTGGGCACTCTACTTCTGTAAAGATTTACTGCCTTGGAAACCTAGTGAGGTTTTTTTTAAATGGTTTTAAAGATCCCAAACCCAGGCCCTCGCAGCACTGGCCCACGGGTGGGATGCGTGCGGGGCAGGCAGAGGACACGGCTCTCGGGCTTTGTCCCCAGCGTCTCCCCGATGCTGGCTTCCTCCAGCTCTGCTCCTGCTGCGACAGCCGGGTCCTCGGGCCTCCTCCAGCGGCAGCAGCAGCAGTGGGGATGAGGACCAGAGGCAGGATCCCATGACGTTTTGACAGGTGCTCGCACGACGTCCAAATCCCATAATGTCATGTGTCACAGGAAGTGTCGTGAACGTTAAGCAGCACATACCTGTGCTTCCCTCCAACCCACTGCCCTTTTTTTTTTTTTTTTTTTTTTGATTATAAAAACTTTGTAAAGCATGGTATTTCACATGTGGAAATTAAGCAGAATTCAGATTTGGGTCCCTAAATAAAGTTTTATTGGTGCACAGCTGCATTTGTTCATTTATGGATCACCTGGCTGCTGTTGTGTTACAATGGCAGACTTGAGTAGTTGCCAAGACGACTGTGTGGTCCATAGAGCCTAGAATATGCACTCCCTGGCGCTTTCCCAGGAGACCCAGGGTCACGCAGACGGTTGATGTGCTTTGCTGCTGACCAGAGGGTGGGAGGTGCAAGTCCCCCCAGACGTGCCTGGCAGAGCACAGTTCTACGGGGACACGTGGGTTGTCGTGAGCCAGCACTGACTCCATGGCACGTGGCTGCTTCTGTTGTTAGGGGGTAAAACAAAACAAAGCAAAAAACCAAGCTCTGCCGTCAAGTCGGATCTGACTCATAGCGACCCCTCCTTGGGTTTCCGAGGCAGTATCACTACGGAAGTAGGATTGCCCAACTTTCCTTCCGAGGAGTGGCTGGTGGGTTTGAACTGCCAGCCTTCTGGTTAGCAGTCACATGCCTTAAGCCCTACGCTACCAGAGCTCCTTTGCGGGTAAAGGCTGTATGCATATTCCTTGTAGGATTCTTGTAACTTCAAATCAAAATGGTGCCAAAATAAAAAGCTACAAAGAACGGAGTATAGTGAAACAATTGAAGGCAGCAGGCCACCTGAGGCTGCAGGGCTAGGAGCTGAAAGCCTCTGATGTCTAGCTCCGTCCTCCCACCCAGGAGCTCCGGAAATGACTCTGGGAAGGAACACTCGCCTGCCTCCCAGACAGACAACAGACGTTCTAGTGGCTGCAGGGTTTGCTGTCCCTGGGACATCCTCTTCCCTCACTCGGTGCTTCCTCCTGGCACGTCTTGGTGGTGGTCCTGCTCCTGGCCCCAGACAGCTTCCCCTGGCCCCACCCCAGAAGGGGACCCTGGAAACCCAAGTCAGAGTCATCAAGGGACTTGGTACGCCCCTGCCCTTCCCTCTTAACCCTTAAACCCATTTGAATTTTTTTGTGGGAGTTGGAGGCCTGTAACTCTCCTCGCTGTTGAGCGAGTCGGGGCCTGTCTGGGGTTGCCTGGCACCCTGCTGCTCACGGATTTGTTCTGAGTCCTGATTTCCCTCCTCACTTCCTTGTAGTACCCAGACTTCTGCCGGTGGTCGGATCTCTGTTTATTCACCCATAAAATAGGCTGGCCAGCCGGGGAGGCAGACGGATCAATGGACAGAATCGAGACTAGGGAAACAGGGTAACACTTAAGGATGTCTAGGATGTGATAAAGGGTGAGTTTCAAATCATTTGCACCAGGTTGACTGTTGAATAAATGATGTGGGGACAACTGGCCAGACTTTGGAAAAAATAAGTCTGAACCCTTCCCACACTCCTCCCATTGACACACTTCCCAAAGGTCAAGTCAGCGCAAAAACAGAAGCCATAAATGTTCCAGAAATCTCCATGAGAAGTCTTGTTACATCTCCAGCCCACCTGTGAAAATGGTGTGGGGGAGCGTCTGACCTCTCACTTTACAAGCAGAAAGAGGGTCGAAGTAACAGCCCAAGGCTGATTGCTGTAAGGCAGAGGTCAGACATGCTGCCACCCGCCAACGTTTTCCAGTTCTGACCCCACCGTCCCTCCTGCACTCACTGCTTCTCTGCCGACTCCCATGATTCACTGCGATGGCCGGGCAGAACCCACAGACAGTACTCATGACTACTAGGTTTATTAGGGCCGTAACAGGTTACAGTCAGGATCAGAAACGACTCCGGATACAGTTGTTGGACCAGGAAGGCCTCTTGTCAGCCGTGCCAGGAAGGCCTCTTGTCAGCCCTGCCGAGCCACACCTCTCTCTGGCCCTCAGGCTCTACGCTGCTCGGGCCAGTGTTAGGAAGCTCTTTTGAATCTGCAGACCGGTATCCAGAGAGGCGCCCCAGTGCCAGCAGAGCTCCAGACTAAGAGTAGGAAGGAAGGCCTGGTGATCTGCTTCCTACAGTCAGCCATGAAAACCCGTGGGTCACAACGGTCAGACCAACAATGCACCAAGAGGATAGCGCAGAAGTGGGCAGCGTTTTCCCCCCTTTATTTATTTATTTATGATTGCGATCTGGGTGGAAATTGACAGAGCAGATTCACTCCATGCAGCAGTTCACACACACACGTTGTCTCATGACATTGACTACAATTCACCACAATGCAACAGCTCCCCTCCCACTTCTTCCTGACAGTCACCTCTTCCCTGGGTCCATCCCTCCATGCACTCCTGCCCCCTGAGCTGTCTCCCTGTGTGTACACAGCCCTTCTTTCTCCCATGATCGCTCTCTCCATGGAGTGTATTTACCTCAGGTAAATGTTCAACTCCTATGTCTGTCTTTTGCTTGGCTAGAAGCCACAGGTATGGGTTCAGTTCCAGACCTGAAGGGCAGCTAGGGGCCATAGTCTCAGTGGTCCCACCAGGCTCTATCAGACCAGCAAACCTGGTCCCCCTTTTTTTTTCCCCAAATGATTTTGAGTTTTGTTCCACATTGTTTTCCTTCTCTATGCAAAATTTACATAGATCCCCCTCCAAGTGGCTGACATTGGTAGCCAGGCACCACCTAGTTGTTCTGGTCTCATAGTCATACAGGCTGCGGATCACACGGTGTACCCGTCTGTCACTAGGAATAATTGTTTCCATGAATTGTGGTTTTCTTCATTCTTCTTTGCTCTGGACGAGGAGACACCCATCATTGCATCTCCATGGCTGCTTGCAAGCTTTTAAGATCCCAGTCGCTACTCGCCAAAGTAGGAGGTGGAACAATGTTTTGTGAAGTATGTTATGCCAATTGAGCTTGATGTCCTCTGTGACTATGGTCCTGAGCCCACAGGTTCAACTACTCGGTCCCTCTGGGTAGCTGGCTGTGACCAAGAAGTGATTACAACCTTATCTTTTGTCAGCTCTACTATACACCTGTGAATTCAGATCATACAAATACACTTCTAGGACCACTGTCTGCCAACCCTATACACGGTCTTGGGTACACTCCCTGCTTTATAGACCTACCTACTAGTTCAGCCTGTCCACCCATCTATCCACCCATATACCCATGTTTGCCTTCACTGACAACTCAGTACTGTATGTGCAAAAAGGTTCATCTTTGTTGTCTGCACCTCCATGCACCTCTCTGTGTCTTCCTCTTCCTCAATGACTGGCAGCATTTTGTCATTGTGCACGAGGTTGCCATGAGTTGCGGGCCGACTCCACAATGGCAATTCAGCAACACAATAAATATGTATTTGCCTAGCTCCTCTTCCGACCGGCTCTTTGAAAGCAGTGGGTGAGCGCAAAGGGTGGGAAGGGCAGAGCAAGAGTCCGGGGTCACTGGGCGCAAGGCAACCATTAGCAGAGTTACGGGACCCGGGAGGACTACAATTCCCAGCAGGCCCCGCGCCGCCCAACCTCTCATTGCCAGGAGACCGCGGGTGGAGTCCCGCGCAAAGGGCGGGGCGTTCCCGACGTGCCTCGCGGCGCGCCGCAACCGCCGGGTTTGAACCGGTTGGCGGTGGCGAGATGGGCGCGCCGTCGTTGCCCCCGGCCTGGCAGCTCTACCTCAAGGACCACCGCATCTCTACGTTCAAGAACTGGCCCTTCTTGGAGGGCTGTGCCTGCACCCCCGAGCGGGTGAGACTGCTTGGCCCCTCAGGGCGGCCGCCCCAGGCTCGCCCTGACCCCACCCCGGGCGCGCGCAGACCCCCAGTCCCGCCCTGGGCCCCCAGCCCTTAGCGAGCTCCCAGCCCCACCCATGGCGCGCACGGACCCCCAGTCCCGCCCTGGGCTCCCAGCCCTTAGCGAGCTCCCAGCCCCTCCCAGGCCCGCCCCGGCCCCCTGCGGCCCCCCAGGCCGGCTCCAGAACCCCCAGCCCGGGCCGGGTCACCTAGCTCCGCCTGGGTCAGGGAGGCCCGCCCGGCCCCCCAGGCCGACCCCGCCGTGGGCGGGACCTGCCCGTGCGCTCCTGGGCCCCCGGGCTCTGGGACGCCGGGGCCGCAGCGCCCCCGGGCTGCGTGAGCTCAGCTGCCCTCCTTGCAGATGGCCGAGGCCGGCTTCATCCACTGCCCGACGGAGAACGAGCCCGACCTGGCGCAGTGTTTCTTCTGCTTCAAGGAGCTGGAGGGCTGGGAGCCCGATGACGACCCCGTGTAAGTGTGTCCACCGTGGGACCTGGGGTGGGCGTCGGGGCGCCCTGTGCTCGGGCGCTCCCTGTAGGAGCTGACCCCTGGCCGGGCCTCCAGACCCGCCGCAACTGGGTGACTCGCATGCTGACCCCGTGGTGACGCTGACGACGTGGGGCCGCCTGGCCAGTGCACTCCAGGGCGACCCGAGGTGCTGCAAGGGAAGATGGGGGCAGGCCTGTGTTGTGACGTCACGGGGCACCCAGCGCTCGCCAGAGGACGTGACCGGAGACACAGGCCAGCACTCGCGCCTTGGAGGGCGACGGTTAACGGTGGTCTGGATTTTGCTTGTCAAGATCCCCATCACTGGAAACACTTCCAACCGTGTCTCTCCGGAGCCTTTTTCCTGCCAGAATCCATTGTTTCAAGAGTCTAATTCTTCCTCCAGGGAACCAGCTGAGTTGTTTATCTTCTTGGCCAGAAGACTGTTGTGTTTTTTCCTAACGCATTTGCTATTATGATCCGGTATCAGCTGGGCTGGCATGCTGGGAAAATCGATTGGATTCTTGGAAGTGAACGTCTGACTGTCCTGATGTTTTCAGGTTATAGTTACGATTGGCCGTTGTTTTGGACTCTGCAGCTGTTTTCCTTGGACCACTTGTTCAGTTACAGTGTTAGCCACTGTTGAGGGATAATTCAGCGCAGGGCACCATGTTCTGATGTTGAGAACATCTCGACATCATTTTTCTCTGGAGCAGCGCAGCCTGGTCTCAGCCAGTAGGTTATGTAACAACTCTGGTGCGATGAAGTTGAGGCCAGCAGTTCCTTGAAGACTTTAGAAAGATTTGACTGTAAAGGGATTTGACCTGTAATAACTCGGGACTTAAAATGCAACCCTTTCCCTACTAAATGCTGAAGGCCTTGAGATGGAACCCACTAGTTATAGAGACGTGAGGGAGAGGCCCACAGGGTGAGCAGTGTTGGTGGGAGGAGTGTGGGGTGTAGTTTGGGGCATGGCACTGACTCCATGCACCTCAGCTCCTTGCCTGGCCCTTGAAACAGCTCACAGGAAGCCCGTGTGACAGGAGGTGGGTGCTGGGGACAGACCGCGGGGTGAGAACAACTGCCTTCCGCTCCTCACTGTGCTCTGTTGACACACTCTCTTATTGATTCTTTTCTAGAGAAGAACATAAAAAGCATTCATCCGCTTGTGCTTTCCTTTCTGTCAAGAAGCAGTTTGAAGAGTTAACTCTCAGTGAATTTTTGAAACTGGACAAAGAGCGAGCCAAGAACAAAATTGTAGGTATTACAGGGAATTAGGACTGAGAACAAGCGCCGTTGGCGTCTAGCACCAAGCTCCCCAGTCCCTCAAGAACACTACATGGTTCCCGTGCTGGACGAACACTTTTTAAGTGTCATGGGGACACATGTAAGGGTGGAGAGGGGCAGAAAAGCACGTTCACTCAGAGCACGCCTTCAGTGTGAGTGTGTTGAGGGAGCAGACACGCGGGGTAAGCCAGCATTGCCCTCGGGAAGATAGCTGTGACAGGGGGCAGGCGTGTTCACAGCTGTATGTGATGTGTTGGTGGCGGTGTGAACACAGTTTGGGGAGCACATAGCAGAGGGCGTACTGGAAAGGGGAACAAGAGGCGGTGGTCACCCAGAGCTGGAGGGGTTTTTTTCTTAAGTTTTTATTTCAGCGAAAGTTTACTGAGCAAATTGGTTTTCCATTCAGCGATCCGCGCCGTTTCGATCTGTGACATGGACTGCAATGCCCACGCTCTAACCGCTCTTCCTGCTCCCTCCCTGTGGTTGGTCTCTCTGTCTGGGCACCTGTCTTTCCGATCCCTTCCTGCCTTCCACCCTTTCTCCCTGGGCACGCGCTGCCCTTTGCATCTCCTGTGGTTGGTTGCTGTAAGGAGTGTGTGCCTCTCGGGTGTTACTATTCCCCTTATAGGCCTGTCTGTCATTTGGCTGCGAGTTGAGCTAGACGACTTCTGATGAGTTCAGTTCCAGGCTTGAAGGGACTCTTGTCCCCATCGTACTGGGTCCTGGAAGCAGTGAACAGTGGGGGCATGGTCGCTCCCAGGTAGCCTGGGCTGGGAGACTTGGGGTTGCCAGAGGAAGCCAGGGGCCCAGCTCAGTCTGAATCCCAGGTCAACAATGAGTCAGTAATTCATCAGACATCCTTTAAGAAAGGACCAGATGTGCTGGGAATACAGACACTGAAGACAAGCAGAGGGTGTTGTTTGTCGTGATGCTGCTCATTCCTGAGACCCCAGACTGGAGACGAGCTGCCCGTCAGTTTGATGGGGTCGCCGTTAAGCAGCCCACCTGGGTCTTGCTCTGGGAGGGACACGACTGGAAAATAAACGATTTCCAGGAATGAGCGTGGGGAAGACAGACTCAGCTCTCGAGAGCCTCCGTTTCCATGCCTGTGGGGGGTCAGCGGGAGACGCCCATGGGAGAGGGGCTTGCCTCCCAGCACCGATCGGACAGCGTTCTGGGACAGTGTGTGTGCAGAGAGGCTTAATTAATTTTAGGGCTTTTTTTTTTTTTTTTTTTTGTGAGAGAAGGAAAAAGTAAATGAAACAAGTGTTTTCCAGAAGGGCCATGGCCATTGTTGTGTGTCGGTGAAGCCGAGGTGCTCGGGCCGTGGGATTGTTCGTTAGAGAGGGTGTGTTGTTGGTCAGGTCTCCTTGTCTCTTGTCAGTTTATTATTTTAAAAATTGTTTTCTCTTTTAATTTTAAAATAAGGCTGACTTGTACACGGGGCAAAATTTAAGATGCACGGGAAGCATGTGTTGAAATGTAACCGTAAAAGCAAGTCTGTTGCTGTTCCTACTAGAAACAGGGTGACCCCACTGAAGACCTGCTGTCTGTTTTCAGTGCGGCAGAGAGGTGAAGGGGAGTGAAAAGCGGGCTAGGGGAGGGGCCCTGGCCTTGCCGCCGTTTCCATTTGCCCCTTTGGGGAGCATGCTTTCTGCAGTGTGAGGAGGTAGGCGGCAGGTTTCGGGGCGGCCCTGGCCTGATAGGCATTTCTGTCGTAGGAACCACTCATGTTCCTCAGGTTCTCTTTAGTGGCCTGTCACAGGGTGTGGGGGGTTGGCTCTAGACTTCCCGCAGGAGTTTCAAGGGTCAGGAGGGGTGGGGAAGAGCAAGACCTACTGGTGGGGAACTGAGCAGGCCCTTGACTCTGGCCTCAGTGTCCTCACCTGTGTGGTGGGATGACGTGGCCCTGCCCCACAGTTAACGTGTGTGAAGCATGTGGAATGGGGCTGGTACCTAGGCCACCTTCCATGAAGGTTGGCTGTCTGCGTGGTGATTGCTCAGAGGGGCTTCAGGAGGGGCCGTCGGGTGGGAGCAGGACAGTCACCTGCACCCTTTCACCTTCTGCCCTCGGCAGCCTGCCCACACGGGGCCTAGCTCATTGGGTGCTCAGTAAAACTCCCCTCCCTTTTTGTTGTAATCGTGTCTGCAATCCCAATCGGGATTAGGAAGGCCTTGCTTCAGCCTCATAGGCCTGTTCTTTATCTCCAGGCAAAGGAGACCAACAATAAGCAGAAAGAGTTTGAAGAAACTGCCAAGAAGGTGCGTTCCGCCATCGAGCAGCTGGCCGCCCTGGAGTGACGCCTCGTTCGCCTGGCCGGGCGCTGAGCGCTGAGTGCAGCGAGTCCAAGGTCCACAGCTCCCGGCCTCTCTGGGGCCACAGCAAAGCTTTAGGAAGGGAGGGCTTAAAAGATCCGGAATGAACAACTTCACTCCAGTTGAGTTTTTCCTAGGGGGCGGCGCCCATCAGGGCTGCAGGTCACTGCGACCTACCGGCTGGCGCTTTCTTTCTTTCAGTTACTTTTGCTTTATTGACTCCAGCCTTGCCCGGGTGGGAAGCTGAGACGGGGGTAAGAGTAAGGCAGAGTGCCCATTGTCCTGGCTCTGGTGGCCGGGCCCGTGTGTGACTAGCTGACACTGGATTTGATGTCTGAATGAGATCGAAGTTCCACTGTGAATGGACAGATCGAGAATTAAGGATGCAGTTTTAAATTCATTTTTGTAAGAACCAAAACTAATATAGTGTGTTTCTTACTGTGTTCACAATGCTTTCTGTATTACCTCGCTGGCATCTGCCCATGCTGCGGTCTTGTCTGCCCGCCTGGCCTGGGGTGCCGCCCAACCCCTGAAACTCCATGGCATGTGAATCACCGCACTTGCCAAGTGGCCGCACGGAGGGCCTGTCCCGCCTGCTGCTCTGTGTCTGCCCTTCCTGTCACTGAGAAGCACGCGTATCCTGTGGTGGGCAGTTCCCCATACAGAGAGGGAGTACTGATCACCAGGGCTGGCCTCTGTCCTAGAAACAAGCTGTGGGGGATGTGGGGGTGGCTGCAGCCCTTCCCGGTGAGCAGCACTCATGGAGGGGCGTGGGGGAGGCTGCTGGAGGAGACCGAGGTCACGCCTCCCACTGGGGGTCTCTTGGAGAATATTTCTTTGCTGGTCATTCACCTCTGGTGGGCATACGGCCAGGCTGCATTTCCGTAAAACCAACAAGAAGAATGTCCTAAGGCCCTACGAGATGGCCACAGGCCGGCTCACTCCCACCGCCCTCGTTAGGAGGGGGTGTCCTCTGGCCCCTGGCAGCCCCAGGGTGTTCTTCCTGAGCTCTGTGTGGTACGGGTGGGAGTGGGACACCCAGGCAAGGGTTTCCTGTCTTTAATATTCCCAATACTTTGCAAGTAGCCATTCCTATTGATAGCATGTCAGGCCGCCGTAACTTGCTTCTTTCTGCGTGTGGATCTCTCTAAAGGAGGCCATGGAATAAATCAATAAAGACAGTGGACTGGAAAACCATCCTCACTTTAGTTTTATCTTTCTAATGATGGGCAGCTTGCTTCTGTTGTCTTCAACCTTGCACGATCACACATCCCGCGATGTTTGAGCTTCACCAGGCACAGACCACGCAAGAGGTTAGCGCAGCAGGGATGGAGTCTGTGAGGGACACCCCGTGGGCCCCAGTGGGACGTGGCTGAGGAGGAGGGCAAGGTCATTTGTGTAATAACCTATGACCTCGCCACACCACGGGCTGGCCTGTGGGCTGGGGCCTGCTGGCTGTCGCCTCTAAGCTGCCGTTTCCTCATCCGCAGGGGTAATAAACCCTGGAGGCTGCCACAGCAACAAAACAAATCGGGTGCTTTGCGCGCCAGACACGTGGCTGAGTGAGAGGAGGGGTGCAAGATCCTAAGATTCTGCTGTCTGGTTTTCTGATTTTGCAAAAAAATCTAACCCACTGCACTTGAGTCAACTCTGACAGCGCCCGTAGAGGACAGAGTGGAACTGCCCCACCGGTCTCCACGGCTGTCAATCTTCACAGAAGCAGACTGCCACATCGTTCTCCCTTGTAGGGGCTGGTGAGCTCGAACTGCTGACCTTTTGGTTAGCAGCTGAGTGATTATTCACTTTGCCACCAGGGCTCCTTGTTTATTTCATAGCACAGTGTGAACTATCGGTAAACATAGGCACAAGGCCATTCTAAGCCACTGGAGAGGCAGTGTGAACTTCAGTGGCTCTGGAGACGAGCTTGTGGGCAGACGCTGGCACTCGGGGCAGGGCTGTGATGGAAAGTGCAGTGGCCTAGATCCTTTCTAAATCACCAGCTCAGTGCTGTGGGGGCTTGTTGGACCACTTGGTGGCCTGATTGGTCAGATGGCAGCAGGCGAGTCTTGTCCTGTCTCGCTCGCTCTTTCGGAATCGGTGGGGGGGGAGGGAGGCGGCTGAGTGGCAGGAGCCCTGCTCCAGGAGGCCTGGGGCCACCTCACCAGCACACGCAGGGCTGACGCCTCATGCAGACAGAGGACCCCGTCTGCGAAAGCAGAGCTGCAGCTGGATGTCGCCTTCCTGCCGGAAGCCTCCGAGGTCATGTTGGTCATTTTGGAGAAAGGAAGAGCATTTGATTTCAAACACTGCTGCAGACCCCACAGGCTCTTTCAGATATCGTCAGCCTTCGGCGCTGGCTGCCTCGCAGCCTGCCAACTGTGCCTTTCATCTCCACAGCACACACGAGGGAGGGGTGTCCTGGCGGAGGGACAAAGCCCTGTGAGGGCCGCTTTGTCTGACACCTGGACACGGTCCATTGGCCAGGCTGGCTGTAAGACAGGCCCCTCAGGCTGGATTGCTTCCGCCCCAGCTCACCCTCTAAACGTGGGGCCGCTGCTCGCTTTGTTGGGAGGAAGAAGCCCTCCCGCTCTGCCCCCATCTAAGCCGCAGTCCCTGGTACTGGGCCAGTCTGGAAATGGACGCTTCACTTTAACGGAGGCTTTGGGGGAAGCGAAGAGACAAGCTGTGTGCTCTGCTCTCAGCCTTGTCTCCGCTTTGTCCTCGGTGTTGTGAGGGCACCGGAGCTGCCCCCTCGGCCCCTCTTACCACACACATCTGATCTGAAAATAATTTTCCAGAGACCATACTTCTCCCTGGCCTTAATGACGGCCGCCATCTGAAAGCCTAATAAACATCTATTACTAAAGCCTCTGGCCCTCGCCTTAAGTAGGGCAATAGCCCAACCTTCTAAGTGTGTCAGCTTCTCAGGGTTCCCCAGGTCAGGCCAGGCCTGGGAGGGCTGTCAGGATGGCTGTGGGCCATCAGTCAGGTACCTGACCAGGTGGCTGCATCAGGTGCACAGGTGAGGAGGCCCTGTGAACCAGCCTCAGGACCAGGATCCTCACCTGTCGTCCGAGGGAGGCGCCCTGCAGTGCAGCAAGCGGCAGGCCTGAGAGGACCATGTGCTCCATATGGGGCCCCGCCAGCCACCACCCTGCGAGTGGCAACCCCTCGGGTCACTGACCACTCCTTGTAAGTTGTACTCAGTGTTTTTCTTTTTTCAAAAACAACTCACAAAGAGTCAAGTATTCTTATGTGCATTCATTTCGGAGGTGAGACAACTTGCCCACGATTACATCATGGAGCAGGTAGTAGGGCTGGGGTTGGAACCCAGGCTCCAGTCTGGCTCCAGGGCTGCAACACCGCACGGTCTCAGGGACGTGTCCGGGGCCAGCCGCCTGCCCGAGGGAGCCAGGCCCACGTGAGGCGTTCTGTTCCAGTTCCGGAAGCTCTCCTTGTTAGAAAGGCCGTCACAGAGCGAGCAGAAACAACGCCCAAGGCTTCTGCTGATCTTCACAATACGGCCTTTTAACTTCCCGTTGTGAAATAATGTCAGATTCACAGGAAGTGGCAGAGCTGCTAGGAGGGCTCCCCGTACGCCCTGCCCAGTGGCCCTGTGGCCACTACAGCTCTGGCCTCGCCTTCTACATCTAAGGCCTCGTCGTCTTGCCATCTCTGCTCTGAGCTGTGTTTGCTCTACAGGGCGCAGCAGTTGAACCAGTTCTCAGCTGGCTGGGACAAAGCTGGGGCCTTGACTTCTGTGGTTAAGTTCCTACCTGGCCCTCAATGTGGTGACGTGTGCCATTCACCACTTTGCGGGGGCCACGCCTGGGACCTGATGCCCAGAGAGAAGCCGGTCTCCTGCGACGAGCGCACGGTGCTTCCCGTTTGCTTCTGCGTGAGTGGCGGGAAGATGACAGTGTACAGGTCACCTGACTGTGGACACCTCAGCGTGAGCGCCCGGGACGGGGCGTTGACTCTGCGTGGGCACTGCCCTGGGTAGGACAGGAGGGGCATCACAGAGCATCCAGCTGACAATGGTGGGAGGCCAGCAGGCGGACCAGACGGGGAAAGCTGCCCTTGGCAGAGAGTGGGGCTGTGGAAGAAGGGGGCACGGTGTCCAGGCATCTTCCTGGATCCCCTGAGCAAGTGCCAGCACAGCTGCCAGGCTCACTGCTCACCTTGCTCGTCCACGTGACCAGAGAGGCTGTCTCTAGATCCCCACACACCTGTGAGATCTCCTTAGGGACGGGGCCACCCAGCTACACGGCTGCCTCCCAGTCCTGGCCACTTCCCCCCAAGGGCGCTAGCTGCTCAGGTCAACCCCAAGGGTGAGGGTTCCAGGCTGTGGCCTGAATGGCTTGAGAAGCGTTAGAATGCCTGGATTTGGAGCAGCCCGTGTCGTGACGAGTCCGCAGGATGCACGGCTTCATCGTGCCCCTGAGTGGGGAAGGCTGACCTGCTGGGCCAGGTGCCACAAGACGTTGCCTACTGCAGGATGTTGGCCAGTGCGGTGACGTCAGTGAGAGACGGCGGGTGCTGGCAGTGACTGGGCCAGAGCTTTCCACAGCTACCCCAGGCCTCTGCCTTGAAGGCTCAGGGCGGGAGCCTCATTTGCCCAAGGCTGTCAGGAGTCTGGCATCTGGTCCCTGGAGGTGCTGACAGGAGTTAATTCAATGTAGGCGTGAGAGAAAAGGGACTGCACCCAGCCCTGCTTTTACTTATAACTGGAACGTCTTCATCAAAAGGGCACGCCTGCGTCTGATTTCAGTGGCCAGGGTCAGACGCCGACTTTGAAGAGGCCAGACGGCCTGGATTCAGCCTGGTGGTCTGCTGAGGCTGGCGACGGCTCCACTCACGGAGTTAAAAGGTGCTGAAAGGGGGGTGAATAGCGAAAACGACTGGGTCACGCTAACCGTTCCATTTCCAGAGCCGGGTAGGGTATAATGTGGGGCTATCCCAGGGGAAGTATACTGGCAGAATTCGTTGGAGTAGGCCACCACGGACTGGCACCTGGTGTTTAGCGGGCAGAGCAAGTGTCCCTCCAGCCTCTGGGCGTTGGAGCATTGAGGCCAGGCCCGCACAAATGGGTCTGCCGGTGGCCACCCTGGACACTAGGAGCCCGTGTCTGTGCTGCACACGTGTAAATCCATGAGGCTGTTCTGCCATAGGGATGGGGGCACTGTGGCACCATGTGCTGAAATGGCACGCGGTTAACAATGGCCTCAAGAGTACCCGTCGGGGAGGACGTGGGAGGGGAGCTGTTGCATTGTGGTGAATGGTGGTCAATGTCATGAGACAAAGTGTGTGTGAACTGCTGTGTGGAAAGTGAATTTACTCTGTAAACTTTCACCCAAATCATAATTTAAAAATAATAATAATAGAAAGAGTACCCGTCAGGCCCATCACTGGCCCTGGTAGCCCTGTTCCATTTAGATGGGCACAACAAACGGAGACCCTTTCAAACTAACTCAGGCCAAGAGTTAGGGTGCCGCTGGGAGCATCTGCCAAAAAGGGGCTCCTCTAGTTCTCCCTACATGTGGTCTCTCCCTGTACCTTAAACACACACAAAGAGGTTTGTTGTTGTTGTGAGATGTCATCGAGTCGGCTCTGACTCACAGTGACCCCACGCAGCAGAACAAAGCCCTGGCCGGTCCTACACCAGCCTCACAATCCTCGCTACGCCCGAGCCCCATCATTGCAGCACCCTGTCAGTCCATCTCGCCCACGGCCTTCCCGTTTCTCGCTGACTCTGCTTTACTGAGCGTGACGTCCTTCCCCAGCAACTGGTCTTTCCTGATAACATGCCCAAAGCATGTGAGACAAAGTCTGGCCACCTTCTCTTCTAAGGAGCACTCTGGCTGCACTTCCTCTAAGACGTATCTGTTCTTCTGGCAGTCCACGCTACAGTCAATATTTTTTGTCAGCACCACAACTCAAATGCATCAATTCTTTTTTGGTCTTCCTTATACATTGTCCAGCTCTCACATGCATATCAGGCGATTGAAAAGACCATGGCTTGAGGCAGGCACATCTTGTCTTCAAAGTGCCACCTTGGCTCTTTAACACTTTAAAGACGGCTTTTGTAGCAGATTTGCCCAGTGCAATGTCATTTGATTTCTTGTCTACTGCTGCCATGGATGTTGATCGTGGATCCAAGTGAAATGAAATCCTTGACAATATCAGTCTTTTCTCCATTTACCATAATGTTGCTTATCAGCCTGGTTGTGGGGATATTTGTCTCCTTTCTGTTGGGGTGTAGTCCACACTGCAGACTACAGTCTTTGATCTTCATCAGCAAACGCTTCAAGTCGTCTTCACCTTCAGCAAGCAAGGCTGTGTTCTCTGCATATGGCAGGTTGCAGTGCCCCTCGGAGGCACCAATAAACCTTCATCTCTACACATTGCCTCTTCTGGATGTCTCACAGGTGGGACCCCACGGCATTTGCTGGATGCGTCACACAGGTGGGACCCCACGGCATTTGCTGGATGCGTCTCACAGGTGGGACCCCACGGCATTTGCTGGATGCGTCTCACAGGTGGGACCCCACGGCATTGGTTCTTTTGTGCCTGGCTCTCACTCAGCATCGTGTTTTCCAGGCTCAGCCGTGCTGTCCCGTGCATCAGGGTCATTTCTCTGTATGGTGGGTAATAGTCCATTGCCTGGATAGATCACATTTTGGTCCTCCACTCATGTGTTGATGGACGTGTGTGTTGTCTCCACATCTGGGTATCAGGAAGAGTGAACACTGATGCACCCCTAAGTCCTTGCTGTCAGTTCTTCTGAGTACATAGCTATGAGCAGAATTGCTGGGTCGTAAGATAGTTTTAAGAAGCCTTGGTGCAGTGCAGTGAGTTACTTAATATGGCCCTTCTAGCCATGGTCTTTGTGACTCCCACCAGATGACTGGGTGGGACAATGCAAACATGAGGTGCTTGTTAATAATGTAAATAAGGTGCCCGGCACCCTTGTGGAGGTGGGACCGTGCATATAAGGTGTCTGGAACCCTAACGTGTTGTCAACTGCTAGGCGGGACGGGATCTCACTACCATCAAGAAAGAAGCACCAGGAGTGGAGCTCATCCTTTGAACTGGAGGTCCCTGCGCTAAACCTCCTCCCCCCAGGAGACAGAGAGACAGCTGAGACACTGTCGAGACGGTGAGAGACATGAGAGGTGGTGAGAAGCAATCAGAGAAACGGAGAGGCCGAGGCCCGAGAGTGGCATGCCTGAGGTGAGCCTGAGAAGAGGCCGTCCTGGCTGAAGAGCTGCACCCCGACTTGTTTCTGATCCTGAACTGTAACCTGTCCCTTCCCTAATAACCCCCATACTCCTGAGTGTCGTCTGAGTTCTGCGCAGCCATTGCAGTGGATTACTGAACCCAGCCGAGAAGTCGGGAGGCTGTGGGAGGGATGGTTGGTGTCTGACCTCCGCCTCATAGGAATCAGCCTTGGGCTCGCCCTTCATCTCGATCCTCCTCCTGCCTCGTGAAGTCAGAGGAGGCGGGAGGACCCTCACGTCCCTTTTACACCTGTGATGCAATGGTTAAGAGCTCAGTTGCGAACCAAGGTTGGTGGTTCAAAGCCAGCGGCTCTGCAGGAGAAAGCGCTGGTGATGTACTCCCATGAGTACAACCAAGAAATCCTTCCCAGCAGCTCTCCTCCGGGTCGCTCTGAGTCGGCACGGACTCAGCTGCTCACCCCAACAACTCGTGTTCCATTGCTAATGTTCCCGTTACATAGCTCTACTGTGCAGGAAGTGTGAGGACGACCCACGGCGTTTTATTCTTCGCCCTTCTTCCCGGGCTGTAATCGGGGTGGGGGAATCCTGGGCTCAGGGCTGTTCTCGCGGGCGGCAGCAGGAGGCGCTGTTCTCTCCCCTCCGTGTGTCTTTACAGGCGCTGGGCTCGCTAAGCGCCCTCGTCCCCGTCTCTGCCACGCTCTTTCACCTTCCAGGCCCAGTGGCCTCAGCGACAGCGCTCGCCAGCGCAGGGGCCGTGGGTCAGGCACTGCCGCTCCAGGGGCGGCCGGGGCGCGCATCGTGGCGGCGCCAGCCGGAAGTCCAGCGCCCCGGGTGAGCTCTCACAGATGAAGAGCTTGCAAACGCTGCGTTTGAAGTATAGTTTCAATAACTCGGCCAGGCTCGCCGGTGCTCCAGGGCGCGTTTGTCAAACCAGGAAGGGCCCGGGTGCGAAAGGTGGCCCAGTGCGCATGCCTGCCACTGCGCGTAAAAAAGGACACCCCGAAATAAGAGCGCCTCGGGCCTCTGACCCCCTTTCCAGCCACGGTCCAGGGACCCTCAGAGGAGGCCCTTCCGATCAGGACTCACCCTCCAGACAGCTGGCTCTGACCACCGGGGGCCGTCCCCAGGGGTGGCCGGGTGCCTGAGTCCCTCCGCCAAGCCGCTCGTGCGTGCGCCCCCGCGAGCTCCTCCGCCCTCCACCCCACTGGCCCTAACTCCTGCCCTGGAAGGTTCGGTGCCACGCGTCTGCAGAGCCCGGCCTTGCCTGGAGGTGGCGTCTGTCACTGGAACGAACCTTCAGCAAGACCTCTGCCGCCCCTGGAGCTCTCCCCGCCGGCGCCCAGCCGCCCTCCGCTGATGCCCTGAGGCTGGTGCTCAGGCTGCCGGGACCAGGACCACGGGGCAACGCGGCCGCGGCCCCCGGCCGGCCCCGAGTGCCCACGCCGCCCCCAGCGGCGCCGGGGCATGTGCCTGCGAGCTCGCGGGGCTGGATCTCGGAGCCCTGACCCTTCCATCCTCCTCCCCTCGGCTCCGCGCAGCTCCGGGCGGCGCACCTGGGAGCCTGGCGTTTGCAGAGACTGAGCACAGCGCCCGGACTCGGCCAGCGGAGGGCGCTCTGGGATTTGAACCCGGGTCTGAAGCTTTTCCGCCTGGGGCTCCCGGACAGCTCCGAGGCGGCAGAGAGGCGGGATCCATGTCCTTGGAGCCCAGCGGCGCCGCGCCCCGAAGAGCCTCAGCGGCGCCTGCCTGGACCCCACGCCTCCCTGCACCCTGCTGCCCCCTACTCCCGGCGCTCCTCTGGTCCCAGGACTCCCCTGGCTCTCCCTGCACCCCAAATCTCCCGCTCCCCCCACCTCCGGGTCCCCCGCTCCCCGACTTCTCCCTATTCTCCGACTCTCCACTCCCGAGGTCTCCCCACTCCCTAACCCCCCACTTCTCTCTCCCGAGATCCTGCGCTTCGCCTCGCGCTGACTCCCGGCTCCCGCCTGCCCTCCGCGACCCCCTACAACCCCCGCTGGTGCCCCGTCCTCCTCGCCTCCCGGCTCCCGCGGTAACCCGCTCCCCGGTCCCCACTTCCCCGCCAGCCCCGCTCATGGCCCGGCTGGGTGCCCTGCTGGTAGCCGCTGCCCTGGGCGCGGTGCTGAGCTTCGCGCTGCTGGCCGCCGCTGTCGCCAGCGACTACTGGTACGTCCTGGAGGTGGCGGACGCCGGCAACCGGAGCGGCCCGGGGCGCGCCGAGCACCTGTCCTCCCACTCGGGGCTCTGGAGCACCTGCGAAGGTAATGGGGTCCTCCCTCCGTGTCCCCTGGACGCCCACTCCCCGCCCACCCCCGTGTCCTGTCCCCCAGCTCTCTCTCTGCCTCCCCCAACGCCCCCTCCAGATCACACTGCCTTCAGAACTCCCCCCTAAAAAATACTGTGCAGTGAGGGTGGGGCTATGGAGGGGCTGTGGGAGAAAGGGACTTGACCTTAAGGCAAAGCCAGGGCCAGAGGGCCAGAGGGGACGCTGGTGTTTGGCACCTGGGGGCACCATTTCAGCCCAGAGCCCAGCGCAGCCAATGCAACTGGCCACAGCCCTGGCCCCTCCCACAGCTGCCTTCTGGCCCCTGAGGCATTGTTTGTGGGCACTGGTGGCAGTGGCTCAGACCCTGGTCCCCCAGCAGGCCGCACTTTGGCTGTCCCTGGCTGGTGACTAGACCTCCACCCTCCTGGAGAAAATGATGTCTTCCTGGACTCCTGGGTGTCAGCAGAGTGAGGAAGGGGCAGGTGTGGGCGCCCCGTTTTCCTTTGTAAGCAAAGTCTGACTTCAACAGGCTAATGTGTTGTGGGGACCCCTGCCTCTAGGGTCAGGCGTCTACGGGGTTTGGAGTTCTAAAGCCAGCTGAAGGATGTGCGAGTATTAGCTGTCTGGTACCATCAACAGAACGAAGACAGCGCCCTCCCCCTGTTCTGATCAGTTGTTTTCATTGCCCAGGGGGGATA